GCCGGGTGCAGCCTGTTTGTTGTGGTTTTTGTTTCCCCGACAGTACCGAAATCACTTGCACTTTTCCTCATTTCTTAAAGAAAAGAAAATCCAGTCTGCTCGCCAGGAACTGTCTAGCGTTAGGTTTGCAAAGGTCGTCGTTGAATGTCGACTGTTTGTCCAAAGGGGTTGGACGAAACAGGAGCTTCCGGTCCGCGTCCTGCCTGCTGGGTCATCAGGGTTGGGCCATGTGGCTGGGGTCCGGACGGCCGTGTCCCTCTCGTCCCTCTGCCGACACGCAGCTGGAGTCCGTCCGACTCGGGTGCACAGGAGCGGAGCGGGGGAGCGGGACACGCGCCCCAGCGCCCCAGCGCCCCGTCCCGCAGCGTAATGATGTCCTCTTGTGTTAACTACGCCGATCCTTTTTTTAGCAATTGAAATGCACTTTTTTTTTAATTTCAATGGGTTGGGCCATGTGGCTGGGGTCCGGACGGCCGTGTCCCTCTCGTCCCTCTGCCGACACGCAGCTGGAGTCCGTCCGACTCGGGTGCACAGGAGCGGAGCGGGGGAGCGGGACACGCGCCCCAGCGCCCCAGCGCCCCGTCCCGCAGCGTAATGATGTCCTCTTGTGTTAACTACGCCGATCCTTTTTTTAGCAATTGAAATGCACTTTTTTTTTAATTTCAACTCAATCATGATTTTAAGTATAAGAAATTTATAGATTGTTAAAACTACTTTTTGTGTATTTTTAACCACTTGATGTAGCATTGTATATTTTATTCTTGTGAGACTGGTACAAGGTGTGCCGCTTAATGATTTTTCTCCGATGCTGGGCCTTTGGATGTGTACGGTAACCAACCCAATGCTAACGTTCAAAGTAAAAAAGAAAAAAAAGCAGCCCTATCCCTGGTATGTCTTTCTTCGTTTCTAACTTAGCCTCAGTCAGCGACGCTAACGAATAATCGTCCTTTCTGGGCCCTGCAGGCCCCTCCAGCGTTGCGGGGTCATCTATGATCGTGGCCCCAGCCCCGCGGGTCCGTGTCGGGCCGCCGCGCCTGGCTGGCGTGGTGAGTGTACCCTAGGCAGGAATACTTGGAGAAGGGAGGTGGAAACTCTGAGCACTCACGATCCCTGACTTGACATTAGACTACACTACAGGGCCAGGGACTTAGCTCAGTGGTTCCGCTGCCTGCCTCGTAAGCACAAGGACCTGAGTTTGATCCTGGTAACAACAAAACAAAACAGCATGGTACGAGGAAAAAAAAACAGTCCCGAGGATCAGTGGAACAGATGAGAAGATTCAGAAATAACTCCAGACACACTCAGCCACCCCGTCTCTGACCAAGGAGCCAACAACTGTCCTCACCAGAGGAAACACAGCCTCTTCAATAAATGGTGCTGGAAAGACTGGCTGTCCACACGCGGAAGATGAAACTACACCCATGTCTCTCACCGTGCACTAACCTAAAATCAAAGTGGATCACACATCTAAATATTAAAGCAGAAACCCTAAATCTGCTGGAAAAGAGGTAGAACTCCCAAAGACAGGCGTAGGCACAGACTTCATGCACCAAACCCCATTTGCACAGGAAATATCACAAAGAATCAACAACCAGGAACTCGTCATGTTAAAAAGCTTGTTTGCACATCCCCCCGCCAAAGAAAACAGTAAAGAGATAGCCCACAGTCTGGGGAAAAATTTTTGCAAGCTATTCCTCAGAAAAGCAGTACTACCTAGACTAAAGAGTGAACTCAAAGGCCAGGGATGTAGCTGAGAACGGCTCGCCCTGCCTGGCCAGCACAAGGTACTGAGTTTGATCCCCAGAACCAAAAAAAAAAAAAAGAAATGGCGAATAAGTACGTGAAAGGATGTTCAACACCACTGGTCATTCGAGACGAAAATGAAAACACAGATTCCACCTCACCCCACCTAGAATGGCTGCCATCAGGAAATCAACCAGCAACAAACGCGGGCAGGGCTGTGGGGAGAAAGGAGCCCTTCCCTGGGGGTGGGGTGCAGACTGGAGCAGCCACTGTGGAAATCGGTGCGGAGACTCCTGAAGGTACTGAAACTGAGGTTCCACCTGACCCAGCTACCCCCCTTCTTGGTCTCTTCCCAGAAGAATTAAAAGCATCCGACCACATAGGGAGGGGGCTTAAGGGGAGGAGATGGGAAAATAGCGGCAAAAGCTATCGTGTACAGGTACAAATTACCTGAGTGTTATCACGTAAGTGTAAAATGTACCAATAAATATTTTGCTTCAAAAAAAACAAGCACAGATCCAAACAGCTCTCAGTCTCGTGGCTGAGAAGCAAGGGTTGGGAGACTGACCGCCCGGGGGAGGCCGCGCCCCGCCCTCCAGCCCTCCATACCCAGGCCCAGAGCGGGCAGCAGAGCCCAGCGGGGAGCCGA